TCAGTGGGGAGCTGGGCACACATGCAGACTCTGAATCTCAGCTCTGCCCCTTCGAGCCGTGTAACCTTAGGAGAGTCCCTTAACCTCTCTGGGCTTCAGTTTCCTCAGCTACAAAGAGGGACTAGGAATAATCCCGTTTCATGTGGTGCCTTGATGGTTAAACAGACTGAAGTATGTGCACGTAACGGAATAGTGCGTGGCACAAAGTAAGCACCATGAAAACATTAACGATCATTTTCTAGAACACTAGACTTGGGTATTTTCGGGTCTAGAGGGGCTTTTAGGGATCACCAAGTAGAACTATGGAAACAGAAGTTCGCTGACAGAAGGCTGTGACGCCCAGGGCCACCCAGAGAGGTGGGGTGAGCACCCCCACGGGCCCGACACTAGGCTCAGTGTCTCTCCTTTATACTACACGTGCCCAGTAACTGTGGTCACTTGGCCAGACTCGGGTGGATCCGGCTCCTTCGGCTCTTGAATCCACGGTGCTACCTTGTATCAAGATCTGTAATGGATATGAGAGGGGGCATAGCGAGGGACTGCGGGCCACGGGCGGGGGCTCGTCAGTACCTTATCTTCCATGATGGTGGCTACATCTGGCAAGCCCCTCACCACCTTGGCACGATCTGGAAGGGAAAAGAGAGACCCCCGGTGATGAATGCTTTCCTGCCAGCTGCTTCCCGGGATCAGGTTCCACAGAGCAGGGGTTTTATTTTTAAGCAATGTTTCTTTTCTCTATTTTCATCATTTCGGGTAGAAATCTTTAAGTCTGTATTATGTGTTTCTTTGCCTTCACAAACAGAAGCCAGGGACACGCTGTGCTTCTGTTATTGACTTGAAGTCACCCTTATGACCGGTGGTGCCTGAAGGTGACAGTGAGGTGCCCCTCCCCCTCCAGAACTGGGGAGGAGGAACGGGCCGGGGTCACCTGATGAAGGTAATGTGTGTGGACTTGGTGGTGGCATCCTTGCTGCTCAGAGGCCAATTCACGTCCCTCTGGGGTTGGGGCTGTGTCCTGGGCTGCAGGAGGCCCCAGTGCCCCAACAGGCAGAACCAGCTTCGGCTTTAAGGCCGTCCCCTCCCCGGCCCTCACCCCTCACCCGGAAAGCCCGCCCAGCCTCCCTCCTGTCTATCCCTGCCTTTCAGGCCCCGGCTGCTGCACCTGCTCAGTCCACACCCACACATCAGGCGTCCGTGGACCCCTTACCCATCCATCTGCCGTTGTGTCCCTGCCGCCCACAGCCACACAGACCCCATGGGCAGCTGGGACCTCAGAGCCCTGCCAGGAGGCACGAACTCACGGGAAGCTGCCCCAAACTCAGACGTGAAAATAACAGAAATACGAGTGGACTTACTCTTCTCGATGATGGCCAAGGCTCTGAAAAACAGAAATGGGGAAAAGGCTTGAGTTCCATTTGTTAAAGGACAGGCCTGCCCGGGGTGGGGGTGAGGGGGCGATGAGGGAAAGGCAGAGCTGGCTGAGGCTCCCAGGAAGGGGTCCTGTACCCAGCTCGTGCCAGACCCCAAGGGGCCGATGGTTCACACAAGAAATGCAGGGGGCACTTACTTCAGCCTCTGGTGCTCAGCCAAGGCGTCGTCAAAAGCTGCCGGAAGGAAAGAGAGGGAGGTGGGGGAGGGGGGGAGCGTCAGAGCCTCGGCCCCTGTGACCTGCAGGTTACAGGGCTTAGCGCTGCCTGTTCCTCCACCGTCTTCCCATCCCTGTGTTCTCTCGGGGCAGTGCCAGGATTGGGTGGCGAGATGGGAGTCCCCTGCCCCCAAAAGACCACAGGATTTTCTAAACAGGTTTCTCTGCAGACAGACGGATGGACAGCTCACCTTGTCCCGAGAGATCAGTTGAGAGCTGCCGGGTATCCTTCCCGGCGGCTATCTCCAGGGTGTATTTGCCCTTGTCTGAGTCCTTGGGGTCCAGGATGTGGAGCCAGATCTCATCCAGGGTGGTGCCAGCCCTCACCCGATCACCACTCTCCAGGCGTTTTTCTCTGGATATGAGGGCAAAGAAATGTTGAACACGGCTCAGCCCGTCAGTGCTGCCCTGCTCGTCAGTGCTGGCTGGCTAGGGGTCTACAGGCACCACCCCCCCCCCCGCCCCCGCAAACTCCTCTCCTGGGGTTTTGTTTCCAGATCTGTGGGCTGACCATCCATCATTCATTCATTCATTCGTTCATTCATTCATTCAGCAAATTCATGGCACATCAACCATGTTCCAGTGCTGAGTCTGTATTTGTGATGTGTCCTTCAGCCTGGGACCTTAAAGAAACGGGGCTCTGGGGTCAGTGATCCCCACGTCCTCCACCCCCGGGGATCACTTCCTCACCTCTTCATTTTCCTCAGCTTAAACCCTCCCAGCGTGTCTTCCCACCATCATCCTTCCCTAGTCCTTAAAAACCATATCGACTCCTTCCCTTCTTTACTTGTATTTCATTCCTGGAGATGCCCGGTCCATGTCCTCAATGTTGTGTTGCAGAAGTGACACCTGTGGACCTGGTCACAGGGCTCAGAAACTCTGGCTAGGAAAGGAGCCCTTGGCTTTGACTCTCACTCATTTGACAAACTTGACCAAGTCAGTCTAGCCTTCTCCATAGGATGAGTGCAGCAATGTCTGCTCCACAAGGCTGAGGCATGCAAATGGTAAGCAGCACCGGGAAAATAATGCTCTCAAACTGTCTGCAGTCCCTTAGCTCCCGGCTGAGTTTCTGTGGGTAACTTACCCATCCTGCCTTCTGGCCCTGGCACGCAGTCCGTTGTCAGCCCCACACATCCCTCTGCCTGCACCTATCCCCTCAGCCTGGCTGCCTGAGTTTGCTAAGGCTGCAAAGACCCACAAAGGCGCCGTGACCCACCCGACCATCTGGTCCTCCCTCATTCTGCATCCTTCCAAGATGCTTCTCGAAGACAATGATGCTTCTGTGGCCATGGATGTGCTAGAAAAATGGGTTTACCACCAGGGTTCCTACCTTCCCTGGGGAACCTCCCTTCTGTACCTTTCATTGCTCTTCCCTATCCCTGATTCTCTGTGCACAGCGTGACTAGTGAGAGACCCTGTCTCTGCCACCCCCGTGGGATTGGGCTCTGGGACAGATGCTGTCTGTCCTCCCCCACCCTCTACTCCCCCACCCCCAGAGCTGGGCTAGGGCTCTAGGGAAAGGCCAACTTACTTGTGGAACCAGGTGGTTTTCATGTACTGGATATTGTAGTACTTGACCTTGCTGAAGATCCGGATCCCCTCTTCGGTTCCCTGGATTTTCAGCGGGGTTGCAGAGAGGGCTGGGGAGGCAAAGGAGAAGGCCAAAGCCCTTTGGGCAGCACATCTGGGTGCCAGCCAGCTCCCCCACCCTGCTCTACACGTGCGGCGGGGGAAATGCAGCATTGTGAGGAGGTACGGACTTCTCCGTCGATCTTTGAGGTTGGAAACTAAACCTGTGCCTGGCAGCCAAGGCTGGCTGGAGGTGCGTTGGAGGCTATTTGGCATCAGAACAGGGCTGAAAAAAGGGTGGGGGGGCTTGCTTACCACCAATCCTGCCCAGCTCAGTGTAGATGGCATCCAGGGCTGGAGGGAGACAGAGAGATGGTCAGCTGACATAGGGTCCTTCGAGGGATGTGCCAGGGGTAGGCACGTCCCTGGGAAAGCCTGGTGGACCTCATGAACAGCTCAGGGTACAGGGAGCTCCACAGGATGTCCCCTCACTGGCTTGGGTCTGGGGCACAGATTGATGGGATGGGGGGGCACCACGGACGGAGGACAAACAGGGCAGCCTGACAATTTTCTTGGAGGCTGAGTCAACCAGCCTGATGGTTGACTGAGCCTGGGGCTCGGTAGGGGGTGGAGGGGTGAACTCCGGCTTCGGGTCTCGAAGCCTAGGCTCACGGCGGTATGCTGCAGAGAACCCGGATTTCGGTATCGCAGACCAGGTCCCTGCCACCCGCCCGCTGTGCAGCCTTGGGCAGGTCCCTTAGCTTCTCTATTGCCCCAAGTGATATGGTGATCTCATAAAATTTTACCCTACAGGTCGTATCACATCTTGTGGTTCTGTGTGATCCCTGGGTCCTCCTGGCCCATCTCTCACATCGCCAGCTCCTACCTTCACCTGTGAGGTCCAGTATGGTGTCATCCTCCCCTCGATTGTCAGAAACCGTTGCTCTATAAATTCCCTTGTCCTCTTTGGACAGCTGGAAAGAAGCATGAGAGAATGAGGGTGTTGGCATAGGTTCTGGAAGGAGTGCCAATCAGCCTGGGCTCCAGGCCTGCCCCTAACTCTCTGTGTGATCGCAGGCAAAAACTCTTCTTCTCTCTGGGCCTCAGTTTACCCATCTGGAATGGGTGATTTCTAAGGTTTCTTCTACCTCTGGAGCTCTTTGATTCCAAGTTCAGGGCTGGTCTGGGCCGGGGGGCAGGTAGCGGGAGGTGGGGGGGGAACTGAGGGCAGAAGCAGACACCCCACCTTTAGATTCACAGGCAGCTGCACCGAGAAGGACATGAGGACCTCTCTTTGCAGGGTTACCTGAGCTGCCCTGCTCCCTGGAGGCCCCGGCTGGAGGGACCCCTCTGCACTTCTCCAGAAGGAAGCGTGCTATCTTTTGGCCAGGACAAGGGGCTCCTTTCTGGCGCGTGCTCGTCAACCCCAAATGAAGCCCGAACTGACACTCAGCAAAGCAAGAGCCTGGGTTGGGCTCCTGAAGCAAGGTCCAGCTGTCACAAGTGACCTCTCCTTGCACAGCATCTCCTTCGGGCCCTGGGAGAACTATCTGCTTCCCTGTCCCCCCTCAAAGGGTCTCTCCCACTCCGACCATCTCTCCATAGTGTGTTTTGAGGCAGAATCCAAGGCAGAGACAACCCTTAACCTGGGGATTGGAGAGCTGAACCCCAACAGACCTCTCCTGCTTGGCCCCCTCCTCCCCCAGTGGAGGCTCCAAAGTCCCAGCTAAACCGGGGGCGGGGGAGGGTGATTGTGTCTTTGCACTTAACCCCTCGGAGCCTCCATTTACTCGCCTGTAAGATGGTGGCATAATCCTCGCCCTGGCCATGGGCTGTCGCTACAAAGGGCGGTAACTCTTTGGAAGCCAGAAAGCCAAAGATAATCCAACTGATTATTACAACAAGCCTCGCGAGCTACGAAGCGCCTACTTGCCACCGAGCCCTGTGCCAGGAGCTTGCGCTGTGGCGACAAAGGCCGGTTGTGGCATCATCCTGGCCGGGATTTGGGGAAAGACCCTGAAGTCATTGTTCCCTTCCTGGTCAGCAAACTCACATTTGCTCCACTCCTCCGTGGCACCCCGTGAGGCCACAGAAACCAGCCGCAGGGCAGAGAAGCATCGAAGGTTTGAGCACAGGCCTTGTGTTTCCATCTTAACCAGGCCACCCACCCTCTGAAGGCCAAGTGGGCTGGAGAACGAAGCCTCAGGCCTGCTCTGCTCTGCCCAGACCCGCCTCACATAGCGATCGCCTTCCGGCCCTGAATCCTACACTCTCGGTCGGGGCAGGAACAAATCTTTGACTGAGCGTCCCTTCTGACCCATTCATGTTACAGACGAACGCTGAGCTCAGAGGACAATGACTAGCCCAAGGTCACACTGCTAGTGGCGGGGCCAGAAATGCAATCCAAACAAAAGGAAATATTAGTATCGCTGTTCCTGCCTTTACTTAAAATGCTTCTATTTTCCCCTCCGTGGACTTTTTTTTTCCTTGCATTAATTTTGGTTCAAAAAATACTGCGTGAAATGTTATTTATCTTGATTGCTGAGTTTTTAGTGCCCCTTAAATTCTGTGCTCGAAGTGAGTGTCTCACTGGCCTCATCCTGGTCCCAGCCCCGCTCCTGACTCCGTGCCCAGTGCTCTTGACTGCGTGCCCAGTGCTCCTGGTGCTGCCTGGAGGGTGTGAGACCTGGGGTTGCACCTACCTCCTCGATGCACAGGATTCCCACTCCAGTCTGTGGGTCGTACTGACCGTCCGGTGTCTCTTTCTTCTGGAAGAACCACTGGAAGCAGGTTTCCTTCTTGGTGTTGGTTGCCTGAGGGAGGCAGGGAATGAAGAGGCTCTCTCAGGCTTTCTCTTTTTAAGTAAGAACTCAACTCATCAGATCTCTCCCTCTCTTTTTTTCCCCCCACAAACTTGCGTCTCCCTCACCCCCATACTCGCTCGTAGCTAATTCCTTCTTGGATCTCAACTAGTCCTCCCTTCACGCCGCATGTCCTCTGCTCGCTCCACACTCTGGATTTGATCTCTTCTCTCCTCTATGTTTCCTTGTAAGCGTCTGTGCGTCTTACAGATCCTACCCTTCTCCGGGCATCTAAAGAGGCTGCAGGGTGCTGAGAAGGAGCACCACCCTTGGAGTCAGACTGCGTTAAAACCGCGCTCCAGGGGCGCCTGGGTGGCGCAGCCGGTTAAACGTCCGACTTCAGCCAGGTCACGATCTCGCGGTCCGTGAGTTCGAGCCCCGCGTCGGGCTCTGGGCTGATGGCTCAGAGCCTGGAGCCTGTTTCCGATTCTGTGTCCCCCTCTCTCTCTGCCCCTCCCCCATTCATGCTCTGTCTCTCTCTGTCCCAAAAATAAATAAACGTTGAAAAAAAAAAATTTAAAACCACGCTCCAGACTTCACCTCCTACCCCGTGGTCTTGAGCTGTTTCTCTACTTGTCCTCCAACCCACGCCTGTCTCACAGATGATTGTGAGGCAGATGGGTGCTGAGCACAGGGTCTGGCAAGGCTACTAACAAACATTAGGGAATCCCCCTCCATATATAGACCCCTCACTTGCTCCTGGCCCCCCTGGCCCCACAGAACCCCTTCCTGGAACAGCTGGGAGATCTAGCTGAAGGCTGGTGGGACCCCCACTAATTTGGCTCCTGGGGCTCTTCCAGGGAGTAGCTTTGTTTTCTAGTTACATTGGTCCTCCTGGGGCTACTTCTCCTCGGGATCAGCCAAGCACAGGAATTTGGGAAAGCGGCAAGGACAGCCACCGGGCTGGGGGGGACGAGCCACATGCTCCCCGCACTGGGGAGGGGGGGGCAGGGCTGGAGGCAGGGGCGGGGATTTGCCTTGCATGTCAGCAGCACTTGGCAGTCCTCCGTGACCTTCCACTGCAAGGGCTCCTCGAAATAGGGACCTGCGAGCACAAAACAAACACGCCCACCGTCAGAGCTCCAGGCTCCGCCAGGGCGCCACCTGGTGGTGAGATGGGGGGCAGCCCGCGGGGGAGGGGCAGCTAGAGACCACAGGTCCCTCAGATTCTGCCGCCACCAAGGCAGGGACGGAGGTGAGGCAGGAGAGGTGCCTGGTGCGCCAAATTTAAGCAGGTGTCACTCTCAGGGTTGGGCTTGACCCTCAGGGGTGTTGCTCTGTGTCTTGTTCTTGCACCGGGACAGAGCTGCATTGAATTGCAGTGGCCCTCCCTCGGGGACCCAGTGGGGCTGAGGGACCTGTTAGCCCACCCGTCCCGCAGGTCCCTAGCAGGTCCCCAGCACTGACCGCTGGCTTGGTGGCCACGGCCTCTGAATTTCACCCCAGCAGTTCTTACCCTGTTTTCTCTTCCAGTCTCTCCTCTTAGCGTCCGCTTTCCGCAGAAGTTTGTCAAAATCTGTGAACACATCGGGAGGAAGAGTTGTGAGCCGGGAGGAGCGTGGGGATGGACACAGGCCCCGGAGCTGAGAGGCCAGGTTGGGCGTGTGGGGCGGGCAGGGCGCCGCTGACCGTCATCCACCAGTGCCAGGGTGATCTGGTTTTTGGCTTTTCCATCCTGGAGCTGAGCAGTATAGGATCCTTTGTCATCCTCCGACAAGTTCTGGATGATCACTTCCACCAGGCCCTTCGCTCGGTCAAAATTGATTTTGCGGTTCTGGGGAGAATAAAGCCGGAGAATCTTTTTTGCCCTTTTCCTATCCCAGGGAATTGGTACTGTGGGACACAAATCAGGGCGTACCTGGACTTGAAGGGGTGGGGGGTGCGATATGTGCAGAGTTAGATGCCTTCAGAGACTGGGGAGGAGGCCCTGGGTAACTCTGCTTCTCCTATAGACCCGGGCTGTGTCACACCGGCCCTGGGAACACCCTGGGGCCCAGCGGGCACAGGAGAGTCTTGGGTACTTGAGTTAACGGCAATTAATAATAAGCCCAAACCCCCTGTGCCATATTTTCTACAAATCCCCATACAAGTTTAAAGGATAACATAAAAAATGCCTGTGTGCTTGCTACCCAGAATTAACACTCATTTACATTTTGTCACGTTCTAACAGTTTTTAAAAGTTTTATTTTCCACATTTAGGACTGTCTTCTCTCTGGACTTATTTGTATGTATGATTTGAGGGAGCCATCCAGTTTTATTTTTTTTTTATAATTTTTTTAATGTCTATTTATGTTTTTGAGAGAGAAAGAGACAGAGGGTGAGTAGGGGAGAGGCAGAGAGAGAGGGAGACACAGAATCGGAAGCAGGCTCCAGGCTCTGAGCTGTCAGCACAGAGCCGGATGCGGGGCTCAAACTCACGGAGTGTGAGATCATGGCCTGAGCGGAAGTCGGACGCTTAACCACTGAGCCGCCCAGGTGCTTCCCCCGCCCTTTCTTCTAAGTTTATTTTGAGAGACAGCAAGTGCAAGCAGGGGAGGGGCAGACAGAGAGAGAAGCAGAAGCAGGCCCTGCACACTGTAAGTGTAGAGTCCCACTCTACACGCGGGGCTCGATCTCACGAATAGTTTTATTTTTCTGTAGGGACAACCAATAGTCCCAATGCCATGCACTCAAGAGGGCAGACTTTTTCCACACTTCCTCTACCATGTGCCAAGGTCGCTGTTAATCTTTGTGTAGAACTTTCATGTCTATTTTCTCGTTTGCTTCTTCTGATCCCGGGACAACCAGCCCCGTTGTACAGATACAGAAACGGAGGCACAGAGAGGTGCAGAGGCCTGCCCAAGGGCACACAGCCCACAGGTAGGAGTCCCGACATCCAGCCCTGAGCAGATTCTCCTCTGTCAGAACCAGTGCTCCTTTCTGTAACACATATTGTCTGATGCCCACTTTGCCATCTGAAAATGCAATTTGCAAACAATATGGCAGCATGATCGAATCTCTCCTGAGACTGAAATTGCCATGTTTGTAAAAACAGTTGACTGTGGGCAACTCATGCTTCAATCTAATACAATCTATCGACAGGCGTGATTTTTTTTTATACCACAACTGTAACGCGAAGAAGAAATAAAAATCATATGCATTTCAATAGTAGATGCTCAGTGATAATCTGTCTTGTTGCACTGATTTATGATGAACTGGTTTGAATTTAAGAGAAGTTCGGTAAAGCAAAAAGATCAAAAGCCATTTTGTACAAAAAAGAACAGGAAAATGAACGAAAGAGTGTAGGGTCAGGTGGCTAACGGAGTAACTTGTCTATTCGGTGTATATTAAAACTGCACAAATACTTTGTATCACAAGGTGAGGGTCTAGGTTCAGAGAACTGTAAGCGTGAATGTAGGTTTTTAATCTTAAGAATGTCTAGTAGGACAATCAAAAGTTGGGGGGGGGGATGGAGAGTCTTTATCCGTGGGA